TAAATTCGTGGGCTTGTTAGTCGTATAAGTCCGACTGAGATGCTGCCATTGCTGTGAAGGTGCTTCAAGTAGTCCCTCCACACTTCGCCAGTATCTCGGCGTGTCCTATGTTTCCCTAGCCTCAATGTTTCAACAAGAGCAAATCGTGTCCTTTCTCAAGAACTATCCTCAAAGGACTGAGTCACACCCATCCTCGCATGAGTGCTTGAGACAATGTGGGGTCGACTTGATCGGAAGGCCTCCGGTCTCGCTCCCGGCTGCGATCACGACCTTACGGGGGCAGGTTTTTCCCACCAAGGCTCTGGGACTCTGGGACCCGGGAGCTTTTCAAACTAGCGCAAGCTGTGCACAACGGTGAAGCCGCGCCATCACTTCGGCACTGAAGGGCGCTGGAAGTTGGCGCATTCAGCGTTTAAGACAATTGGTCCCACGGGTGTTCCTGCTTCGGAGTGAGGGAGAAGCGCATTCGCCTGGGACGGCAGCCTGCCTCCCCCGAAACATTAGACATGCAGGCTGAACTCAAACTATCAAAGATGATGCTAGATTCCAGTGAATTTCTCGCTCCTCAAACCACAAAAAACGGTGAAAAAACAACCTCAGCATGGGGAAAAAACGACTTTCTGTGCAGACTTGAGCTAGCAGAAGCTGGAAACAACAACAAACAACAACATGCGGTTGCGCATGTAACCAAGGTCTAAACAAGGCATTCCAGCACTGTTGGCGGCTTAAAGCGGAATGTCAACTTCCCTAGCCGTTGAACAAGTACACAAAGCCTGATGAAGAAGCCCAAGGACCGTTGGGCGGCTGCATCCCCGGCCAACCCCACATGGGGGGAAACCTGCGGTTCGGACGACTCTGAGTCGGGAACCCGGCTTTCGGGCTTAGCGTTCTCAGCATTCCATGGTTTAAGGCGGCGTCGCTGCTTCGCTGTAACCGGATTTCAAACTAGCACTTGGGTGTCCGGCTCAAGAACAAACCGCAGCTGAAGGTGGAAGGTCAAGTCAAGTGCATGGCACGCAACGACAGGCTCCGCCTCCCCGTACCCGAATGGATACAAACGTGCAGCCGCAAGACGATCCGGACACTGACTGCAAATCAAGTCTGCCAAGCCGCGGCATGCCAGGAATCAGCCCGGGAAACGGCATGCCAGGGAAAAAGGGTGGCCTGTGCAGCGGTGGCTTGGCTTTCCAGCATGTTGTCGGGTTTGGGGTTCATGAAGGCTCTCTCTAACAGCGCAAGCTTCTGTCGCATTACTGCTGAGCAAGAGAAACACCCGGCATGTCAGTGCAGAGGGCTCGATGCCAGATAATGCCACTACATAATATACAGCAGCAGTCGAGAACATAGAAGCCCTGAAACACATCTCACAAGCCCACAGGGTCAGAGAAACACGTGAGTCGAGTCCATAATGAAGCCGAAGTATTCTCGGCTTGACTGTTGAGTTAGGTGTCTGAGTGGTAGACATCCTGCGGCGCTTCGCAGGTTCGCAAAGCTGTATAATGGACCTACCACCCGTCTACGAGCAAAGCTATGGAAAGTCCTTGGCAGCTTGCGAATTTCCGACCGCTTACTACTGAGGTGCGCACGGAAGATTTCCCGGACGCCTGGATCGCAGCTTCCGTTCTGGTTTTGTGGGTAGCTTCCAAGATACCCAGCTTCCATGTGACACCATCATCAACTCAAAGCCTAGCATTCTGATCGCCCGCTTTTTCAGCCTTGCCCGACCCCAACTCCAAGAGCATCCAATCACGACCCTCAAACTCCAAGACTCGAGAATCCGGAAGCACAGCGCTGAAAGCCGAGCCACTTCCTGGACTTCCGCTTGGCGCTTCGGCCTCTTGAGGCGCGAGAGTCACCTGCAGATTTGCTGGGCCGCTCATTCACAAGAGTGCATGTCGAAGACCTATGTCTCATCTGATCTGAGAAATCATACAGCGGCAGGACTCTGTCGGATCTTATGCCGCTTCAAGTGTGACCAACCGTGCTGAAAGCGGCGCAACTGTCTGGGCACAGGACTTCTCAGATCATTTCGTCGTCTCCGGGAGCTGCGGCTGCGAACCTCTCTGCTTCCGTTGGGGTTCTCCCAACACAGACTAGTCTATACAGGCTCGACACTGGACAAGGGGACATGCTGTGGCGAGCTTTCAGCTTTGAGGCTCCCAGGCTTCGCTTCCATTGAAGGGCACCGTGGCTCTGCCTGTAGGCTAGCACACCTCGTCTTCCAGTCCACCAGGACCCACAGATTTCACATGCATGTTCTCAGCTTGTACTGTCATCTCTTGCCATGCTACACCTCCTTTCAAGCGGCACCCCTGTACATCAACACGTAGAGAGTCTGGGAGTTGCAACACCTGGTCCGTTTGCCTCGCAAGCGCGCCCCCGGGAGTCTACGGAGCACCGTCGCCGGCTGTCGCTGCGACCTGATCGGCAGCTGGTTGCTCGGACGGGACTGTGGAATCATGGAGTTCTTAAATGCCTCCTAGCGGCTCGCCGAGATACCCCCGATTGCACAGTGCTTTTCTCACTCCCATGAGTCCCTGCAGCTTTTACTGCTACAACCCCAAACCCTAAACCCTA